CCAGACTTACAAAGAAAAAAAGAGAGAAAGCCCAGATAAACAAAATCAGAAATGAAAGAGGAGAAATAACAATAGACACCACAGAAATACAACAGATTATAAGAGAATACTATGAAAAACTATATGCCAACAAAATGCATCATCTAGAGGAAATGGATAAATTCTTAGACTCTTACAACCTCCCAAAGTTGAATCAAGAAGAAATAGAGGGGCCGGCCCTGTGGCTGAGTGGTTAAGTTCCTGCTCCACTTCAGCAGCCCAGGGTTTCGTGGGGTCAGATCCTTGGCATGGACATGACACCACTCATCGGGCCATGCTGAGGCAGTGTCCCACATAATACAACCAGAGGCACTCACAACTAGAATATACAACTATGTACTGGGGGGCTTCAGGGGAGAAGAAAGAGAAAAAAAAATAAAAAGAAGATTGGCAATAGATGTTAGCTCAGGCGCCAATCTTTAAAAAAAAAAAAAAGAAGAAACAGAGAATCTGAATAGAACAATCGCAAGTAAAGAGATTGAAACTATAATCAAAAGCATCCCAAAGAATAAAAGCCCATGACCAGACAGCTTCCCTGGGGAATTCTACCAAACTTTCAGAGAGGATTTAATACCTATCCTTCTGAAGCTATTCCAAAAAGTAGGGAAGACAGAATGCTTCCTAACACATTCTATGAGGCCAACGTCACTCTGACACCAAAGCCTGACAAGGACAACACAAAAAAGGAAAACTACAGCAAATATCATTGATGAACACAGATGCAAAAATCCTCAACAAAATATAGGCAACCCGAATACAGCAATACATCAAAAAGATCATACATCATGATCAAGTGGGATTTATACCAGGGACTCAGGGATGGTTCAACATCTGCAAATCAATCAATGTGATACATCACATTAACAAAATCAGGAATAAAAACCACATGATTATCTCAATAGATGCAGAGAAAGCATTTTACAATATCCAATAGCCATTTATGATAAAAATTCAACAAAATGGGGATAGAAGGAAATTACCTCAACATAATAAAGGCCATATAAGACAAACTCACAGCCAACATCATACTCAATGGGGAAAAACTGAACAACAGCCCTCTGAGAACAGGGACAAGACAAGGGTGTCCACTATCACCACTCTTATTCAACGTAGTACTGGAGGTTTTGGCCAGAGCAATTAGGCAAGAGAAAGGAATAAAAGGAATCCAAACAGGGAGGGAAGAAGTGAAACTCGCTGTTTGCAGATGACATGATCTTATATATAGAAAACCCTAAAGAATCCATTGGAAAACTATTAGAAATAATTAACAACTACAGTAAAGTGGTGGGATACAAAATCAACTTACAAAAATCAGTTGCATTTCTGTACTCTAATAACAAACTTACAGAAAGAGAACTTAATACAATTCTATTTACAATCGCAACAAAATTAAGTACCTAGGAATAAATTTAACTGAGGAGGTGAAGGACTTGCACAATGAAAACTATAAGACATTACTGAAAGAAATAGATAATGACATAAAGAGCTGGAAACAGATTCCATGCACATGGATAGGAAGAATAAACATAGTTAAAATGTCCATACTCCCCAAAGCAATCTACAGATTCAATGCAATCCCAACCAGAATCCCAATGACATTCTTCACGGAAACAGAACGAAGAATCCTAAGATTCATATGGGGCAACCAAAGACCCCGAATTGCTAAAGCAATCCTGAGCAAAAAAGAACAAAGCTGGAGGCATCACAATCCCTGACTTCAAAATGTACTACAAGGCCATAGTGAACAAAACGGAATGGTACTGCTGCAAAAACAGACACATAGATCAATGGAGAACTGAAAGCCCAGAAATAAAACAGCACATATACGGACAGCTAATCTTCGACAAAAGTACCAAGAACATACAATGAAGACAGTTTCTTCAATAAATGGTGTTGGGAAAACTGGACAGCTGCACGCAAAGGAATGAAAATAGACCGTTATCTTATGCCATACTCAAAAATAAACTCAAAGTGGATCAAAGACTTGAAAATAAGTCCTGAAACCATAAAACTCCTGCAAGATAACAGAGGTAGTACACTCTTTGACATCAAACTTAAAAGGATTTTTTCGAATACCATGTCTTCTCAGACAAGGGAAACAAAAGAAAAAATAAATAAGTGGGACTTCATCAAACCAATGAGCTTCTGCAAGGCAAAAGAAACTAGGATCAAAACAAAAAGACAACCCACCAATTGGGAGAAAATTTTTGCAAATCATATATCCAATAAGGGGTTAATCTCCATAATATATAAGGAACTCACACAACTGAACAACAAAAAAACAAACAGCCCGATCAAAAAATGGGCAGAGGCTATGAACAGACATTTTTCCAAAGAAGATATACAGATGGCCAATAAACACATGAAAAGATGTTCAACATCACAAATCATCAGGGAAATGCAAATCAAAACTACACTAAGATACTACCTTATGCCTGTTAAAATGGCTATAATCACTAAGATTAAAAATAACAAATGTCAGAGAGGGTGTAGAGAGACGGGAACCCTCATACACTGTTTGTGGGAATGCAAACTGGTGCAGCCACTATAGAAAACAGCATGGAGATTCCTCAAAAAACTAAAAGTAGAACTACCATATGACCCCGCTATCCCACTATTGGTATCTACCCAAACAACTTGAAATCAACAATCCAAAGTAACATACGTACCCCTATGTTCATTGCAGAACTATTCACAATAGCCAAGACATGGACACAATCCAAGTGCCCATAGACTAATCATTGGATAAAGAAGATGTGGTATACATACATACGATGGAATACTCCTCAGCCATAAAAAAAGACAAAATCATCCTATTTGCAACAACATGGACGGAGCTGGAGGGAAGGATGCTTAGTGAAATAAGACAGACTGAGAAAGACAAACACCATGTGATTTCACTTACATGTGGAATATAAACAAACACATGGACAAAGAAAACAGCTCAGGAGTTACCAGGGGACGGGGGGTGGGGGATGGGCACAGGGAGTGAAGGGGAGCACCTATGTGGTGACAGACAAGAAATAATGTACAACTGAAATTTCACAAGGATGTAAACTATCATGAACTCAAATTTTTTTTAAAAAGTCAATTTTCACACTATAGGTTGTTACAGTAAAAAGTACATATGCACTATATACATCATTATATGCACAGGGAACAAAGCTTAAAAGAGCGATTTACATACAAAGAAGTTATATTAAATACTAAGTATTTCCAGGGGGAAAAATAGGGGCAAAAAGTTAAGAATGAGAAGTTATAATAAAATAAAATAAAAAGCAGATCTAGAATAAGCCACAAAGGAACTGGGAAAATATACTAAATATAACAATCTTAGGAACAAAATTTCACTATTTTCTACCAAAAAAAACCACAACGGAAACATCTAATAATATAAACTAGGTCACTTTCTGTCTACTGATAAATAAGGAAATACATTTTTAGTCAGGTTTAGTGTAAGTAAAAAGAAGGAACAATCAGGATAAAATGAGGTCATCAAAAATCAAAACCAAAAGTATCCAAAACTTAACCAAAAGTGGATAAGTTAATGCTCGCTTTGGCAGCCTGGGGTTTGCAGGTTCAGATCCCAGGCGTGGACCTAGCACCACTCATCACTCCATGCTATGGCAGGTGTCCCACATAAAACAGGGGAAGACTGGCACAGATGTTAGCTCAGCAACAATCTTCCTCACCAAACAAACACACACACACACCCCAAAAGCATCCAAATAACAATGTATTTGAAACATGATCAAAATGCATCATTTTAGAAATGCTCTATAGAAATCAGTGGAGGCCAATCTTCCTCAGCAAAAAGAGGAGGATTGGTGGTAGATGTTAGCTCAGGGATAATCTTCCTCAAAAACAAAGAAAAGAAGTAGAAATCAGTCATAAAATTCAGCAAGTGTCCTAGTGTTTGGGAGGTAGGGTGGAGAAAAGACCAAGAAAGAAATTAAAGATGACGTCTTAAATGTAAAACTAGGTAATGACAGTGGGGAAAAACCAGAAGTATGGAAAACATCTCCAAAGGGTTCAAATAAGACTGAAAGAAATTGTGTATATGAAATACTGAGATGAGAAAAATATTTACAGAGAAAAAATTAGCTGATAATATGAAGAATAATTAGAGAAAAATATTTCACTTAAGTAAGACACAAGATGATTAAAAATGATAGGAACACACCAACTGATAAATGGATTAACAAAATGTATTATACAGTAGTCCCCCCTTACCCACAAGTGATGTGTTCCAAGACCCCCAGTGGATGCCAGAAACCAAGGATAGTACCAAACTCTATATACATTGTGTTTTGTCCTACACATACACACCTACAATAGAGTTTAATTTATAACTTAGACACAGTAAGGGATTAGCAAAACTAAATAATAATACAGAACAATTATAAGAATATACTGTAATAAAAGTTACTGTAGATTTTAGCAACCCAAGCATACGATTGTTTTCTTAAGTGGAGCACTTTTACCTTCTCACTTAAAGGAAGCACTTTACAGCTTCTCTTTATATCCGATTGCCAGCATCACTACTCTTGCACTTTGGGGCCATTATTAAGTAAATCAGGGTGACCTGAACACAAGCATTGCGATACTGTGACAGTCAATCTGATAACTGAGATGGTATAAGATTTCATCATGCTACTCAGAACAGCATGCAATTTAAAACTTATCAATTGTTTATTTCTGGAATTTTGCATTTAATATTTTCGGACCGCGGTTGACCGTGGGTAACTGAAACTGCAGAAAGTGAAACCTTGGATGAAGAGGCACTACTGTATGCACTGACAGGCTCAATCCAAAATGTTATTTTACCTAAACATAAAACCAAAGATTTGAGTTACCTGATGAACCTTAAGCTAAGCATTTTTTAACAAATCTTTTGATCAAATCGTATCTAAGAGTTTATTAAGTTGCACTTAGTGACCATTTTGGAAAATTGTTCTCACCTGTTCAATGACATAAAAGGCAAATTCCAGCCGCTGTTTCTGGAGCATTGGGATCAGGTGCAAGAAAAAAATTGGAAGATGTTCATGGCGATTACGGAAAGGAATGAGAACTGCCACCTTTAAAACAAAATAGTCACGTATGTAAATAATACAGCAGCAAGCCCTAGATGTAAAGACGAAAACTGATGCTTAACAATTTCTGATGGTTTTAAAGTCACACCCTTATGAATTTTCTCACCAGAGATACAACTGTAAGCAAAAACAGATATGGCCCTTGCCTTCACGCCACTTATGGTCTTGTGAACCTGGGAGATATAAATGCGCTCTGAGGGTCATTCTAAGAATTGTGGTCTTTATCCTATGAACACTATGGGAAGCCACTGAAAGATTTTAAAAGAGCGATAAAATCAGATTTGGTGATGGCAAAGACTACTATGGAGAGTAGATTGTAGAAAACCAAAAATGAACTCAGAGAGCTGGTTAGTAAACTAATTCAACAGTCGAGACAAGAGGCAATAGTAGCTTGAACTGAGATGAGGGTGGAGGAGGAGACAGAGACACGGATTTTTGAAACTTTTAAGAGGTAAAATTAACAGAATTTGTTTACGGATGGGATATGAGTGGTGAGAGAGAAGGACATGTCAAGAGTAACTTCAAGGTTTTAAATTAGATCATAATAACTTTACGGTGTTTAAATTGAACTTAAAAGAGATTCCACTTAAATATTGATTATCCTACACACAGCTTACCTGGCCTAGAGATATTTTTAAGAAATATAACAAAAATATCATGGAACATACATGAAGTTTTATAATTATACTAATATAGTATTTTTCATTTAATCAAAATACACAATTAAATTTTTGTTAAAATTTTGCTACATTAAAATATGTTTGAGTGGTAGGATAATGCTCAGTTTAAAATAAAATTGATAATGAAATTATGTTAAAACGTTAAGTTGAACAAAAAAGATCATGTAAGTAACACATGAAACAGAGAACTTTGTCCTTTATAAATCAAAGAAATTTATTTTTACCTGATCCAAATAAAAGAAAAAAACACATATGGAAATTAAAATGGTTTCTCAGGTCAATCTTTCTTCTAATAGGAAAAAAACATTTATTGGGACTCTCAAAATCAAGACTAAAAAACACCCATCTATACAAAATGTGTTAAAATAATATGGGGATAAATAATTACCAATTGACAATAAATAATTATCAATTATCAATTACTCAAATCCTCTATTTCCTGGATCCAAACTCTGTCACACAAGCTAAGTCACCATACAATTCAGAGTTTGCCCCTGAAAAACTTAAAAAGCTTTCTAAACATTACTTTTCTTGGCAATTTCTGAGGTAAGCTGGCTTTATTAAAATTGTGACTTTTATAATAAAAATTGAAATTAAAACAAGTTTTCTACAGATTATACATTCAAAATCATTAGATTTTCAAAGAACATTAACAGTCAAAATATATCTAATTAAAATATCTGTGTCATTCTATATTCGGGATTTTTAAATACAATCTATTATAACAGAAAATTACGTAGAACATTAAATCTAGGATTTATTAAAATTTCACCTATACCAAATAAATTTTACTAATGAGTGAATAAATGCAAATAATTGATGGTGCATAGGTTTAGAACCAACCCTACTTGTAAGATCAGGACATGACACTAGATATAGTTAACAGAAAATAGTAATATTTACCTGTGTATTTTACATTAACAGGATCATAAAGAGAGAAAATTTTAAATTATTAAAATAGTTTTATTTAAAAAGAGAACAAAGATGATTTAGTAAAATCAAAGAAATCCAACTAGAAACTCCACCACTAACTTTCCCTTGATGTTGATGGGATAACAGAAAAATAAAGAGAGTATGGCTGCTACGAGGCTGATATTTTCATGCTTACATTATTTTACATTTGGTAAGTGAGCGGAACTAAAAAAGTTCTGGTGCTCCTGCCAGCCCCACTTTGGATCCTATTACCTTTTGGTTTGCCCCATAAGGTGTCTCTTGGCTTATGAACCTGAGGACCACGGGGCTGCCAGAGCACTGCTGAACCCACATCTAAAAGTCCCTTCCATACCCCCACACGATGGCCACTGTTAGTGCTAGACTCTTCCTACTGATCAGGGACTTGCTGATGGGCCTCAGTATCAACTATTGCTGTATTAAAGCAATTCCCAAACCAATACAACTCCCAAAGCAGTTCAGGGACCCTTACATTTACTCTTAGGATAGGAAACTGCTATGAGAAGTAAAAGGAGAGAAAGGACTTCGATGGTGAGTACAGATCCTGACCTTATCTAAAGTCTATCAGTGGGATGACTTCTAGCAAACTAAGGGTAGAGCTTGTCCTTCCTGGTTTTGAATTTGGCCACACGTAGGCCACCTGTGACATAATGTAAATGGGCTATAAAAGCAGTTAAGGAGAATTAAAGATATTTAAGGGAAGAAGTATTAAATAGCTGCAGAGTCCATATTAAAGACAATTCATATTAATTAAATAGTCATGTGCCACATCAATGTTTCAGTCAACAACATACAACAATGGTCCCACAAAATAGTACCACAAAGCTAGGTATATAGGCCACATCATCTAGATCTGTGTAAGTACACTCTATGTTGTTCACACAACGATGAAATCGCCTAATGATGCATTTCTCAGAATGCATCCCCATCGTTAAGGGATGCACAACTGTACAATGAGGCTGAATGATGAGTTGAACATATAAGAGTAAACAAAGGCAAAGTCATAGCCCCTATTATGGCAATTTCTTCCATGAAGCATTTAAAATATTAAGAGTTGGGGTTTTTTAATCTTATAAGGAAACTGAGAATGTTATAAGAGAAAGAAATTACCAGTGTCATGGCAATTTCAAATAAGCTAAACTGCCATTTTAATAGCAAATGTGTCCACATTTTAATGAGACAATTATCAAAGATTTTGAATGATATGCCTAAAGCAAAGTTTTCATTAAAATAAGGCGAAACAGAATCTTAAAATTTCATTTGGCACATCCTTTCATGTGGCTGTGGAACGACACTCTCAAGTTTGCAACTTATTGTCGAGAAAAAGATCTCAGCGTCCTGTGATAATTTATTTCGAGATTTAATAGCCTTTGTTTCAGGACAGTCTTTCTTATATGTGACCTAATTTGCTGTTTGAACCACTCTCCTGTTAATGTATCTCTAGCAGACAGAGAACATCTGGTCATTATCTTTCAAAAAACACTTCATCTTCATGAATCTTTCCTCACTAGCTGTTGCTCAAGCAAAATTATCCCATTCAGTTTGTTCCCCCTTTAAAACTACTAATCTTCCTGAATTTATGCACCTATTTTTATTCCTTGCTTATTTTCTCCTATACTCACCATGAGGAGATAAGCAAGAAAAATGTTTACCACATAAATTTCCCCCATCAAGTTTGAGTCCTACTTTCAAACTTCAAGCACACCACCAGCTCCAGTGTCCCTAAATGACATGGCTTCAGACTTGCCACATTAAGGGTGCACTAGCTATCTGCCACTAAGACAGAACAAAGTAGAAGCTACCAAGCTCTCATTCTCCAAAGGCGTTTTCAGTTCCATCTTCCTCCCCCTCATCATTTCTAGTGCCTATAGGAGCTTCTCAAATGGGAGGCACTGTACAAGAAATTCAGGTTCTTGTCCCTTCCCACCAATAGAATCAGAATATCTGAGGACTGAGTTCAAGAATCTTCATTTTTCCAAACACCCCAGGTAGTTCCGAAACAGGTGGCTAAGACTCATCTTTGAAGAACCTTAGACTAGAAATGGAACTCTAGGCCTGAGTAGATAAGAGCATCAAGCAGCTGCCTGGTTCTTTAAGCCTTTATTTAGGTTTTAGATCAAAGTTGTTTAGACCTCCACTTGAACCCTGAATGGAAAAGCAATGTCACAGGTAAACATGTCCATCTTCTCTTTCTTTTAGAAATAAGTTTGTCTCTATAAGGCATGCAACCTATGCTGAATCTTCCACTAGAACCTGCAGGGTTCAGAAATACCTAGGAATTGCTAAAATCATTTGTTTTAGAAGATCTCAGTTCCAATTAATTGGTCATCAACTTACTTAATTGATGGCTTTTTTTAAAAAAGTAAAAGAACCTCAAATATTAAGAATCAAATTGGTAGCAGACATTGAACATAAACCTAGTTATTTCTTCTTTACCCTCTCTCTGTTCCAAGATTAGAAGATTAGAATATAAACAGGCAGGGGGAGAGAGGTCATTTAATTAAATACAGCAATTACAGGTCAACCCTGAACGATCTCCAAATCTCCTCTCATACCTTTAGCTGCACAGCTCAGAACTAGAGATGGCAATCTGAGAAGGGTCTGTGCAAGATTGAAATAAGAGCAGCATTACCATATAGTTCCTAAATAAAATAAGCTAATTTTTAGATTCCTGAATTAGCCTGCTCCAGGGAACTCCACTTTCAATACCGTTACCTACTGATCCACATGGAGTTTATGGTGTACTAAAATTTCTAAGTAGCAACTACTTATGTGCGATATACCTCTCGCCTAGAAAAAGAGCAGAAGAAAACAAACCATAAAAGGTAAAGTCCAACATCTGATACAGATAACTGCAGAAAGGACAAGAATACTTTATTTTTCTGATCCCAAATTATTCTATCAGTAACACCAACAGAGCACACCCGAGGGGTTCACACTACTCTAAACGAACACACATCTAAGGACCAACCTCCATGCTACCCCACAGCCTTGCGATTGAGTATGCTTTTTCTTCCTTTAGCATTCAACAAATATACTCACAATCCAAGTAAGAAAAATAATTTACTCGCCCAGGATATTTTTTAAAAGTGGAATTACATAAATTGGGCCATATTTTATATACAAATGTGAGGAAAATCAATCATGAAACATGAAGAGATTCATTTTATTAAACGAATCTGCTCTGGGAAATAGCATAAGACAACTGTAAAACGGAATGTTTTCCCAAAATTTATACTGGAATCCATTTCAGCAGCTTTACAACTTGTCTGAGGCAAAAAACCCAAACATTTATTTAATAATTTGTAACAAGGCCCAAAAGGTATTTATTAGTCTCATAAACTCAATTCAACAAAACTGGGTTTAGGGCTTATCTCATACAAAATAACAGGTCTGTGTTAGGGATACAGATATAAATAATACACACCCCCAAACACACAGAGTTCAAGGCCAATTAACTCCGAGTGCTTTTATCATAAGTTTAAGAGCGTAAGACTCTACTTCCCAGAAACGATTTTTTTTTATACCAAAAGATAAATATTTTAGCAGAATACCAATACTTTAAAAGAGAAATTGAAAACGATTCCCAGATTAAGGATGTCACAATCCTTTAGGACACAACATTTGATTTCATCATGTGTAGTTTTCACTTGATTATATAAATGCTATTTCCTACTCAAACATAACAACATTACACGAATATGCACTATGAACCAATTTCACAGTATTGAGATCGAGTCTGGTCTACACTATGGTTTTCAATTATTTTTAAGCAGGGGAGGCAGGCTCACTCCCTTACAGTTTCTCAAACAAAACATTAAGTAGAATTCTGACATATCGCAAAGATAAAAAGCTTGTGCTCTGCTTTCTAAAACAGAGGTAAAGGGTCCAAAGTCCTCCTTTTTGTGTCCTGGTGACCTCTGAGCGGCCTCCTTTAGAATTCGACACTCTGAGGAACAGAGCTTGAAAACCCCAATGCCAGACTCAACTGGAAATCAGGATATTAATACCCTCCCCATGAGTCCTCCTGGGTCCAGGACTCGGTGGGGCTATCTATGCCCGCAGGGGTCAGTAATCATCAGGGACAGCTACAGGAGGCAGAGATCACAGCCTGTTGTCCAAACAGAACAGAACAGAACAAAAATCTGTTTTCCAAGCCAGTCTCAAGAGAGGTGTTTATTACCAGGATTTCTAAGAGACTGAACACATGAACATATATTTTGTATACACAGAGGTTCAGTTGCAGTCTTTAAAAGCGACACTATTAAATCACATGTGAACTGTGAATACCCATCCATTAAATACAAAAATTCTGATGTCTTAAATTGATCAAGACTTAAAAGGTATTTCACTATATATTCTGAATCAAGCACACTTTTCCTCAAATGCTATGAATAGTCACATTATTTATGAAAAAATTTACCTCACCTTCCATCTGGGTTTACAGTCTTTAGGTCTCCAGTGACCTCCTGGCTCAATATCTAAATCCTTGGAGAAAAGTTGATGAATTTCATCAAAACTGACTTCACTTACATTGACATTAAGAAATCCTCCTAGAAAGTCAAAAACATGAAGAATTGTTTTAAAATTTTTTGCCTCAAAGATGAAGACAGATAATCAGTAGGATGATGGCATAACTTAGGACAGTGTGATTTATTTCTGTTGTCACCACATAATCATTAAGATCACCTCCTTTCAGTTTCAGTTTGGATGATAAAATTATATGGTCACCCTATTACCTTTGGTAAATCAAAGAAAATCAAATTTTTTAAGCCTCTTGCTTTTGAGTAATATACTGAATATTTTAATATTCTTTGGGAAATGTTTGCACGTCATTATAACTTAGCACATCATTGCAATTTAATAACTATTCAAGTATCTTAAAACTATTTTTAATTTCAACATAGTCAACATGGGGGACATGACAGCACAGTACAAAAGAGTTAATGCAGCAGACTGGGAGCTGAATCGTAGCTTCTGTCTATTGGGGAAATTAACTTCTCTGTGCCTCAGTTTCCTCATCTGTAAAAGAAGATGGCAATGCCAGCCTCCCAACATGGTTGTATCCATCAGACAAAACAGCACGTGTGAAGGATCGAGTACGTGCCAGCAGGCTTAATAAATGTCATCTATTATTGACATTTCTTAAGAGAGAAAAGTTGTAAACACAATTCAAGCAATCTATTTTGAGCACCTATCACGTATCCCCTTGATATGAAAAACTGAAAAACCGTGGACTTCGAAGATGTTCACGGTCTACTAGCTACTCACTCTCCAAATTAACAAGTGTATGGTATTACTGGAGATGTCTTTACTATTAGTTTTTCTAATGTATACAAGTTGGAATGAAACTTGGATGGAAGATCATTTTCATTAACTCAATAAAAAACAGAACTAAAAACTAACAGGAGTAGGGGCCAGCCTGGTGGTGTAGTGGTTAAGTTCACATGCTTCACTTTAGCGGCCCGGGGTTCACAGTTTCAGATCCCAGGTGCAGACCTCGACTGCTCATCAGGCCACACTGTGGTGGCATCCCACATAAAACAGAGTAAGACTGGCACAGATGTTAGCTCAGCAACAATCTTCCTCGAGCAAAAAGAGGAAGATTGGCAACAGATGTTAGCTCAGGGCCAATCTTCTTCACATACAAAAAAACCCCTAACAGAACTAACTTCTTCTTTCTAACCTCCTCATCTCATAAAATAGAAACCAACAAATGTTGAGGTTTCCATTTTAAGTTTTCTAGGCTTCAGTAGCCTTGATTTCACATATAAAACATTCAGTTCTTCTCAAGGGAGGCCCCTTCCTCTCCTGCTATTCTATATTCTATAAGCCTTCCACAGTCGCCTCACTTCCCATCCCTCTTCATCCTAACCAGGCAGGAACATCAGCGGCTTCCACGAGGCACTGAGGCATGCTAGAAAGAAGTATTTTAAAATGCAAATGCCTATGTTTCACAGAGTAAGCTGGGGAAAAAAACCTGCAATCTTCTGATGTCTGCCTATTCCACTGTCAATGTTTTCGGGATTTTATAACCAAATACCCACTCTGTAGTGTGACAAGATATGCAAAGCAGTTAATCTTAGAAAGGTCAGATTTACCTGAAAGAAAGAGTAACCAATGAACTTGTGAAGAAAGAGCAGGTCAAATGTAAGACTGATCAGTCAACCCAAGCACAGACTATCATGACTCAGCTGACAAAAACACAGTCTAGCACTGTAATCAAATAAAATTCAAATAAACCTGATGCATTTAATGGCATGCAAGACTGCTAAAATGATAGTAATTAGGATAAATAATAAGCAGTTCATATAAGTAACTAAAGTCGGTATTCTTGATGCACTGTTAAACCATTTTTTTGCCTTTTTTCCAGCTTTATTGCTTCAACAGCGGTAACCATCACTATTGTCAGCAGTTTTCTCCAGCATCATTTGCAGTTTAATTTTCATCTCCAGCACACATGTGCTGGCAAATTAAGAGGCAGGCGCTGTATCTTTCTCCTCAATGGACAGGGCCTCCAGGTCCATCATGACTCCCCCTGAGGCCTGAAGCCCCCGAAGGTCACCTCCCTCCTGGCTGCCCCCCACCCACATTCCTCATAGTCCCTGAGCAGCTCTCCTGTGGGCTTACTGCTCTTTGTTCTGAAATCCTAATAACTTGCTGGCTGAAGGCTAAAGGTGACCCAGTGCCATGAGGTTGTCATGCTAGGAGTAAGAGCAACACCACTACTTTTTTAGGGGAGTGGAGGGGAGGAGGGGTGGGACAGGCATCCAAGACAGGCACTGCCACCACTGGGAACAGTAAAAGTATGATCAGAGACAGGAGGAAGAATAAACACGAGTTAGTGGGGGTGGGGGAGGGAGGGGTGATGCTGGGGAGAAGAGCCTGTGCACGGGAGGGGAGGAGAAAAGGGCTTCTTACAGAGAGCGGCCAGGAAGAGGCACTGAGCAGATGAACTAGCGGAGGTGTGGTTTCCAAACTGTGCTCAGTAGAAAGACTCTCTCAAGGTGAGCTTGTGGTTGGGAGAGGGAGGATGGCTTCCCCCTGTTGCACCCACTAAGGCTACTTTCATCTCCTTTACATATGGCGTGTCCCCTTTGGGTTTCACTCAAGAAAGCATTCCAGTGCACTAAAGCCAGAAGGGGATACAGCCTGGCTGCATCTTACTTCATCCAGAAGTAAGCAGTCAGCTAGGCCAGCCCCCTTTACTTCGCCGGCTGACATTTCAAGGGCAACTGAAGAGCAAGGACCCAGAGCCCTGCAGACCTGCCAGTCTTCACTCTGCACCTGCGCTACATCAGAGATTTTTTTCTTTTCCCAGTGAGAACACGTGCTCTATTTCCCCAATCAGTGATTAAAAGGTGGAAAAAATAGATGTATTGGCTGAAACCCGTTTACCCAGCAGTGTAATCAATCACCACACAAATGTCAACAATGTAATTTATCAAATCCTGACTTTCACTCTTTGGAAGGTGGGCCTGGGGTTAGAAAGGAAAGAGTGGGAGAGCTAAGTGTCTAAAGAGAGGGGAGATGCCACCCAGCTAGAGGGTAAAGTGGAAGAATGAGGGTCAATTGTAAGGTACTCATCAGTCTTGGCAACAAAGCCTGGGTGCAAAACTACTTCTGACCCGTGTGACAATAACTTAGCTGCACCACTGGTTAGATAGGATATTTACTGTAATTTCCTAATGCTGAATTTGCACAACACACAACAATGCCTCCCACTTTGGGAAGCAGGACCTAAACGGGCCTGGGGTCCGTTAGGTAAGCGCGGGCCCAAACCATATACTCAAGGTAGTGTGGACTGTAACGTGTCACACGACGTAACTTAGGATATCTTTTTTTCTATTAAAATATAATTCTTAAAATAAATATTTAATAAACATATGAATTACTGTATTCACATTTTTTCTTATATTTTAAGTAAAATTTAAGGCATATTATCTCTAGCCAGGGAGTTGTTTTTTTCCATAAATCAACAGCTTTAAATGACTACTTCACTCAGTTTGGGGTCTACTTCTATTTTTTGGTATCTAAAGCCTAATTTTGGACACTTTGGTTTTTTTTACTGTTTTACTCTCAAGGTTTCAAATGTGCACAGCCCAAAGATCTGAGGAAAGTATCAGAGAAAGGCCTGAATTTGCTCTAGAAATATCCCTTTGGGTGAATTCCTCTCCAAAGTCAGAAGATGATTTTTACCATAAGATGGCATGTTCCCTCTCCCAACCACTGGGCTGTCGCCCGAGTACAGCTCAGGTTACATGAGTCATCTTGCCCCAGTCACCCAGTGCTCCCTTTGAAGCCAACAAGAGAAACCGCTGATTTGCAATGCTTTACTTCAGCTTCTTGACTTCTGCAATTTTGTAACCTCTGCTTATACAAATAATTTCTTACTCAACTATTCTTGAAATGACCAAATCTGAGTATTCTAAACATAGATAGGGTGGTTTTTAGTGACACACCCCCAAGCCAAGTGCAATACCTGGCCACAGGATGGATGACCAATGAATGAGCAGGAATGGCAAAGCTGGCCATGTCCAATCCTGTCTCCTCTCTCTCCGCTTCCTTCCTCCCTGCATTTCCACTCCTTGGCTCCATTAGGTGCTAAAATGCCTTTAAGACATTTGTGCAAAAGCCGTCCCAGATGGAGATGACCCAAAATAAACCCCCTGGGACAGCCCAAGTTCTTGTCTCCTAATCTTGGCCACAATACACAGTTCTTAACACCCATTTTCCTCCCTTGCTTACGGTTCTCTCTTGCTGAATGACTCTGAATGACTAACTGGAACCTCTATTTAACAGTTTTTGCTGTCTGTTTCCAGTTTTGCCTTATAATCCATCCAGTGAACCTTTGGTCTTCCCCTGGAGGCCTCATATCCATGATCACATTCTTCCAAATTGTTTTCCTAGTCTCTGACTATTGATAAGCTGACAACCTGCTTTAAAGTCATAATCCCACAACCACTATTTCTCTATTTCGTCAATTCTGAAACATATTCATTCACATTTTAGCATTCTGACATAGGGACATACCCTACAATGTGTGCCTTTAATGTACTGCTTCTTTCTTGTTCCCAAAAAGCCATTATAAAATTAATGATGTGTCTTGTCGAGAAAATATGGTATGTAATGTAATATATTCCTCCCGCCTTTTCATATGTGTTTTCTGGAACCATTCAATTGCCCAGAAATTTCCAAATCCTGTACCTTAATTTTTTTCTAGAATACCACCCCTGCTCCTCATCGTAAGTGAACCAATAGTCTTCTTTCAAACTCTGCTAAGTGCTTGCTCACTTTCCTAGATCTATAATCTTAGAGCCAGGCATAAAAGAAGGTATTCTGCAGACTCAGACCTATACCTCACAAAAAATCATCTAATTCCTTCTTTCATAAATTTACCTCCTTTGAGGTTTATGACTTTTAGCCACACCACCTTCCAATATACAGCCATGTCCACTGATAGGTGCCCTCCTCTCTCTGTACATCATCCTTTTGTACCCAGCTCTGTATCCACACCCTGAGCATCAGTGTCACCTAGAACCGACTGGCAGCG